AAAGCGTGGGAGAGTGAGCTGAATATGCCTTAGAAACAACAAGAATCCCTCAATGTGTAGAGAATTAGTTGTGTTTGGAGAATGTTTATTTCTAAACACCACCTATTTGTAGATGGTAGTGATTTCTAGGCTAAAGGGGATGAGATGTGTGTGCCATGACATCACCAGCATCCAGAAGATGGGCTCTTTTCAAGAGTAACAAGGCACTACCAGCAATCCTGAAGCTCTTGAATTTCTGCACACCCTCCTGTGAGATGATTTAAGATTTCTTCAGAGAGAAGCACCAGGATTTCTATCACCAGAATCCCTTGGGTGTGATGTCAGCATCCTCAGCCATACCCAGCCAGGTCAACAACCACCCCTGGAAGGGATTCCTAGTCTTGGAAAGGCTCCTGTGAGATGTTAACACAGCTACAGCCTTGAGGTGGCAAATCCCAGACTGGTTTGGGTTGGAAGGGACCTTAAAGATCATCCAGTGCCACCCCTGCCATGGGCAGGGACACTTTCCACTATTCCAGGTTTCTCCAAGCTCTGTCCTACCTGGCCTTGGACAGTTCCAGGGATCCAGGGGCAGCCACAGCTTCTGTGGGCACCCTGTGCCAGGGCCTCACCACCTTCACAGGGAACAATTTCTTCCTGATATCTAATCCAAACCTAGATTAAACTAAATATTCCTAATATTGAGCCTAAATTGAATGTTCTCTATCCAATTTTTCCATTAACCATAGAAAATGCCCCAGCCAGGTGCAGCCAATATCTCCTGTCATTCATTGTGGGCACAGGCTGACATTATCATTTCTATTGTAAAACCTCACAAAAGATGATGAAAAAAGCACCATGTTAAAAAGGATGCAATGACTTTTTGTTGGCCCTTGTGATTAATATTAGACGTGGCAAGTAGTTAATTATATTTCTTAAAAGGACTTTGAGATTGCAATCAATAGAATTGATTATAAAAGACAAATTATGAAGGAGTAAAATATCACAGCCTATTTAATATGATGCTAAGAAAGCCCATCCAGCATCATATATGAATTTCAACTTAAAGTGACAACAGTGCCAGCTTTCATGTGATAGGGGTTTAAAGAGCAAGTTAAAAACATATATATCTGCTATTTAAAGGGAGAGAATTCCATCTCTCCACTCAACAGAGATGGAGACAGCAGAAAGAACAGTTTTCAAGAGCTTACTTTATTAAAAAAAGGATTTCTGCTCACGAGGTCTTCTTTAGCTGAACATTGCAAGCTGAGGGGCAAAACCTCCATTCTCATTTACTGTCCACATTTTACATAACTCCGGTGTTAAAAGGGTGAGCCTACATTGCCTTCCTTGATTTTTTTATAGTAGGACTGTGGAGCAAAAAATATTTTCTGTCTTTAAGAGAAAGAATGGATCCATTTAAAGAACTCATTTCAAATACTGCATTTTATTGGAATCTAAGTATTCTGTGAATGTTGCACAGTATTCTGTGAAGAAATGTAAAAGGACAGTGCTTAGGAGTTTTTCTTTCCATGTTCCAAGTCAAAGTGAGGCTTTTGCAATCCTCAAAATAATCATGTTGTCATCAGGGACTTAGTTCAGCATTTAAGATGACATAACAATAAATTTTAGTTTTATTTTACTTACCATCTTCTGCAAACTCAACACTAGAGAAGCAGGGTTACTTTCTAAGCTTGTTCAAATGAAATTTGAATTCCTAAATGAACATTCGAAAGGAAAAAGGTTGTACCTCCAAAATCACTGAAAATTAACCTGAACCTTGAAATGATACCAACTATATCTATTCCCATCAAAGCTTGAGGCAAAAAAAGAGAAAAGCAAGAAGAATATACAGTTGAATTTTTCAAAGTATTTCATTTGCACAGGAAAAAAGTGTAGCAGCAAGACAAATTTGTTCTTCCTGGCGACACAACTTATAAGAGTCTGGCTGTGTCCTCTCTTGGCAAGCACAGCTTTGCTGATTTGTTTTTTGGAGGTTTTGTGAAGAGCCAGCTTTTTAAATGCATCAGGTTTAATAAAAGTATCAGTAGGAAGAGGAAGAGACCAGAGCATGATATGTAACTTTGTTATCTCAAGTTAGTAACTTCTTCCTTTAAAATGTGTCAGAAACAGGGTCTGATTCAGCAGGAGCAAGCGATAGAGTCTCATATTTAATGTTTTAAGGCCTTAGTATGTTTGTTTCTACATAGAAATGATGTAAATTATGTATCTTTCTCTTGACTAATATGGTCTAGCTATATCTTGGAAGTTCATTTTGTGGTTATCAGCCAATGTTCCAAGGCAATCCCCTTTTGACTATTTTCTCCACCTAATGCAACCCATCCTATTGATGGGTTTCATTCTGTGGAGGGTCACTAAGAAAACACACAGTGCCCATTTTGTGGCATTTAGACAGATATAAAGATTACATTAATCTAATTTTCCAAGCATATGTTGTCTCTAGGAAAAAAAAAAGAAAACAACAACAAAAAAAAAAAAAAAAACAAACCAGGAACAGGAAACCTCAAAGGGGAATATGAATCTTTTGGAAAATAGCAGGAAAATCTCATAAATAAGAACTCTTTGGTACTGATCTACATAGTGGCAGAAAAACATTATATTTTGTCATGATTAGCAATATCTTCTCATTTCTGAAATGGTCTTACTTTCCTCAAAAAGATCTAAAGCTCTGTGCTTAAAATAGCTGAAAAACAGCTGTTGGATTTTTCACAGCAATGGGTTTTATCTTCATGCTACATAGAATACAAACCAGTCATTTGACTAATATATAGTTTCAGAAAACATGCCTTCAGAATAGAGTCTCTCCTGCTAATGACAAACCAAGGAAATATTCCCTTTCACATGAGTTTTTCATGTGCTTTTTTATTTAGTTTTTTTATTTTAACATTTTCATAACTGTTTGGTGCAAGAGCATCTTTACTCATACGCATCAAGATTCCCACCTCTGGAACCATCAAATTGAACTCTTGGCTGTAAAGGGTGAAAACATCCTGCTTTTACCTGTTTTATAGCCTTGTCACATTTTAAGTTTCTCTGGTGAATGGAGGGTGAACTAAAAATAAAGTACCTTACCTGAAGGATACTTTTGCATATTTGCACTTACCTCAGATTCCACATCATTCAAGAAAAAGCTATTTCAGTTTAGCTTTGTCTTAGGAGTTTTTAGATTTGGTTATAATATTTTAAAATGTTTTATTTAAGCCTTTAAGAAACTATTTTCTTACAACAGAATCCCTTGGTTTTAAGGTGGACCTTGGTTTTTGCCTAGAGGAGGAAGCCTGCATTGACTTCACCACAAACAAAGCCATGGGATGCTTCATTCAGTGGCCATCCAAAGATTTATAATGAAGGCTGGAAAAACCCAAAGAGCCACAACCTGGCAAGAGCTGTCTCTATAAAAAGATTCCTTTCAAAAGGTCTTTTTTTTTTTTTTTTCCCTTATTAATTTCAGCTATGAATATGAGCTTCAGAAACTGGGGAATCTGGGGTATGGGGACAGGCAGAGAGAGAAGGGAGAGGAATTCCAGTTCAAAATCATTTCATAGCTATACTTCAAATAATACCTCCAAATAATCTGCTCCAATAAAACTTTATTTCCACTAACATGACTTGGGATTTCACAAGCCTGTTTAAAAATAACCCAACAAAACACGTCCTAAATAGGTAGAAGGGACTTGCCTCTCTACTCTCTACCACATCCTATGAATGTGCTGCTGTATTCCAGAGACTTTCCAAAGGTGGCAGGGCGAGCATGTGTGAATAGGAGAGCTTTGTCCTCTGCAGCTATCATTGTGCTGTCCCTATCGCCCACAAACGCAGAGGGCAGATGAGAACTGGATAGAAACAGACCATGCAGTTGTAAAACCCAGTTCTTTTCTCTCTTTATTTATTTATTTCTGCGACTGAGTAACACCTCTCATTACAATTACCGGCTCAATGGCAGAAAAGCTCCCTGGTGTGCTGTGCAGATTTTCACAGATTCATTTGTCTCCTCCTGTGGCATCAGTTTAAAAAGGTTCCTAAAGAATTGCCACTAACAACCATTTCTATTTCGAGCCTTCAAAGCCGGAGCTGAGCACAATACAAGGCACTGGTAACTGATCTTAGGTTTCAGTCCACAGACTTTCCACACTGGGAATAGATCCCATCTGTTTCCTCTTTATGCACCAGCCTTTAGAAAGCACAGATCTGGAAACTGCCTCCGTACAGAACCGAGTATAGCCGGCTTTCCCCAGCTAACGGCAGAAAAATCCCCATGATTATGGATAGCATTCTCCCAAGGTTTTATACTCCTCTTTTCTCCCCGGTCTATGAATACACGATGTGTTTTTCTCCATGTGCAGTGGCTTTTTGGAAGGCTGAAGGGGATGGACCACGTCTCTTTCCTTGCCCCTTCTTTCCCCTTCTTGGCAGAGGTTTCCCCATTTACCAACCCTCGTAGGGGGAACATTTCCATTTCAAGCCCCAGCACTATCAGCCACAGGCAAACCCCCCTCCTTGCTTTGGCACCAGAGCTTGAGACATTTCCCCCATCGCTCTCCCTCCCCAGCAAGCTGCTCTCCAGATGGATGCTCGTGGCTCTCCCTTGCCTCTTCCCTTCGCCTGTCCCGGCCAGAGGCAAGCACAAGGCACAGAGCAGAGGATTCCTTGGGGCAGGGGCAGCCGCACAGAGCCGGACGCTGTGACCCCGGGATGCTCAGCACCACCGAAGTCCTGAACTCCTTTACCTCGGGGATCGCCCCTGTCCTCGCTTCCCTCCCTCGGCCCCACACTGGGGAGTCCCTCAGCCCCACACTGGGGAGTCCCTCAGCCCCACATTGGGGAGTCCCTCAGCCCCACATTGGGGAGTCCCTCAGTCTCACATTGGGGAGTCCCTCAGCCCCACGTTGGGGAAGTCCCTCAGCCCCACACTGAGGAGTTCCTCAGCCTCACACAGGAGGGTCCCCTCAGCCCCACACGCGGGGGTCCCTCAGGCCCGCTCCCCTCAGCCCGCCACTCACTACTTGTAGAGCTGTTGCAGGCAGAGGTCCAGGCACTCGCCTTCCACCTCCTCCTCCGTGATGTACTCCGAGAGCGGCCGGGGCAGCGAGGGCAGCGGCGGGGGCGGCGGCGGCGGGGCGGGCGGCTGGGGGTCGCCGGCGTCGCCCTCGCCACCTTCTCCCTCCTCCGCCTCGGCGGCCGCTCCCGTTTCTCCCTCTGCCCCGGGCTCGTCCTCAGCGTCGCCCGCGGCTTCGGCAGCGGGAGGGGGGGCCGCCGGCTCCGGCTCGGGCTCCGGCTCGGGCTCCGGTTCCGGCTCTGCCCCGAAGGGCCCGCGGAACTCGCCCAGGAACAGCTCGAGGAAGCGGCGGTAGGTCTTCTCCTCCGCGCTGCCGCCGCCGCCGCTGCCCGAGCCGCCTGCGGCCATCGCTTCGCATTCCCGGCCGCCCGCCGGCGGATCAGCACTGCGCCCGCAGAGAGCTCCCTGCCCGCCGCCGCCTCCTCCTCCTCCTCCTCCTCCTCCCTCCCGCCCGCCGCCTGCGCGCGCGCTC